AATATAAAGGCTAAATAACATTTACAGCAACATATGTTTTTTGTTAATTTCAAGGTGTTACTGTTTTTTACATATAAAAACAACGCTACAACTGGGAGTGAATTATGTTGCCTGAAGGTGCATTGGTTTTTCTATTTTAGAAGGAAGGTAAAAAGGTCCCAGTGGTTTCAGGCAAGACACAAAATTATACACAAACAATCATATGTCTGCACTGTACTTGGTTTCACAGGCATCTGTAAACAATGGCTGTTTGTGGTCATGTCTTATGTCTACTAATAATTGTCATGATTTCACTCCATGAACCGTTATTTTTTTGTTTTGTCTGACAAAACATGTGGCAACACAAACGCATACTAACACTTTCTGCTAAAACACAATTTTTTGGGGACATTGAAAACAATTGATATGAATCAATCTGTGTAAGCATCGGAGGAAATGCTCTATTGTATCAAATATCAAAGCATTGAATGACTATGGAATAACAAATATGCGGCTAAAATATTGACAACACACTACGGCTGTAAAATGTTCTATATTGGGAAATATTTCTTGCAATTTTAAGTCAGTCGATATGTGCCAAAACAAATATTGTTCTGTAATCAAGGATACATATGAAGAGAGGAGAGCTGAAATATATACTGCGCTTTATTTTCAGAAGTTATTCTTTAGAATATTGCTGTGGATTGAGACACATGACATTGCAAGCGATAAAAATCATTACAGGAATTACATTTCTTTAAAATATCACATCTCTGCTTACTTCGTTTTAGTTGCATTGAGATGGGCGTATGTTATTGTAAAATAACTAGATTTGTGAATTTTTCAATCAATACAGTGCCAGGATCAATATAGAAATGAAATAAACACATTCCTAGGGAATAGCTAGCTGCAGATACTCCCGTTTAATTATCTCTACTTGGAATAGATAAGATTGTTAAGTGAAGAGTTCAAGGGGAAGAGCTTCAACTGTGAAACACATAAGGTTGCAACATACATTTACTGTATTTCCAAGCACAAGCTAAAGGCATGAATGTTACTCCTTTCAGACTTAAACAGCCTATTACATGCCTTCAGTAAATTTGGAAAGCAATTGTGAGACAAATTACCGAAGGTCGTTTTAAGGGGAGTTGCTTCAACATAAATTGCAAGGTGTGGATGCAGCCTAATGTAATAAGCACCATATTATTGTCAACCAGGCTGGAGCACTGGAGTCAAATCGAGTATGATCGTAATATTTTTGTGTTTCCCCCGCATTTTATTCAAATCACACGACTGGCATCAATTCGTGGGACGAAGTATCATATTCACAACTCTCCCAGAGCAATGCGTCACGCTGCGTCATATCACACGCTAATCGGAAGCACCTTACCACATGCCATAATACAGAGAAAGGCAGTCAAATATGTAATGCACCCAAGTTAAGATAAATAGCAATATTCAATGTAGTGGGTTTGTGTTTTTATTTGTAGTCTTTGGTGGCCAGGCTTAGACCATCAACTCACTTACATTTCAGAACTCTGGTGGCTGCCCGGATTTGAACAAAGGACTTTAGCCGTGCCAGCGCACTGATGTGAACCCCAAGTTACCGGCCTACTTCTCATCAGACCACCTATAATGTGTCGTTCTCCAGTTGGCTTCTTTTTAAATTGAAATGTCCATCCTATTCAGCAGAAAGTGAACTCTGAAAGCTGTTGTGAAACGTGCTATGCTGGTAGGGTGAAAATTACCCCCCCACCCCCAAACACTTCTGTCAACTGCTCTGTTGACCACGTTGTGCTGTGACTTTATTGGATGCTGTTACAGGTGGCTTCATTACACACCTTTGACAGGTGACTGAATCGTAGCAATAGAGTCATCTCAAGGTGCTAAGGGCAAGCTGCATTTTGACAAATTACAAATTTCATGTCAACCCAAGCAATACCTTTTTAAATGCAATATTTGCCGAAAATAGATTTCCGATTTTAAGATAATTCCATGCACGTCCGATTTACACGGTTGGCTATGTATGGTACAAGAGAAGTTCAATATATATGCAATACTCTTAATTAGTTTGATCTTCAAAAACAGACGTTACTTTGTACCGACACATCCATGTTCAATTTTAATGTGCACTTTTATTTTAGGGACTATGTTGTCTTGATGTGGTCTGGGACTGTCTTTGCTGTTATTGTATTGCCTTGCCCAAGTTTGGGAATTGATGTACTTATGCAATTTGAACTTAGCCAACTTGACAATTTGGTCGATTTTCAATCGGCTGAGTCCCTATAAGCAACATATATGCTGCATCTTTGGTTACATTGGATGCCTGCCCCATTACTGACAAACAGAGATTATGCAGCAATGCTTTTAATAATACTTGGAAAGTCTTCAAAACAAATTAACCAATGCAACTGAAGCTTATACCTGAGGTCAATGACAATGTCTTGCATGATTAGGATTTTCATGATGGTGTATGCAATATTTTGAATTATTTACATGCACTGCTCAAGGCCTCATCATGGCCAGTGTGCATCACCGTGGCACCGTCTCATGCCAGGGTTTATGCATTACAAGTGCCACAGCCGCCGGCAAAAACAGCAGGACGCAGTGGGCAACAGCAGGAAACAGACGGCATTGGTAAACTTCAGGCAGCAACTAGAAATAGTGGGCAGCAATGAACATCAGACAGCACTGGGCAGCAGCAGATGAATTTGAGTAACGTCATTTAGCACTGGACAGCAGCAGACGTGAGCAGACAGATTTTGGTGTCGACTGATTTGAGACAAAAAAAACGTGTACACTGTTTGAGCAATATTTACATTTTGCTCCGAGAAAGCATTTAATTTCAAATGCATGCTGAAGTGCATTTGAAATAAAATGTAAAGTTAAATACAATTAAATTATACTGTCTCATAACATCATATATTTACACTTCGGATTAAAAGAGGTTTCACACGTGCAAAATATGAATATTCAAGACCAAAATCTATTATCAAATATTAAGGGGCACAGCCAAAACATGCTAAATACATACGTTTTGAAATATCATACTATTAAAATTTAGGTTTTTTTATCACCGATTCTGCTTTTGTGAATAACCATTGAACACGTGGCACCATCAAGTGACCTATGGAGCTGAGGCACGTGATGAACAAGAGCGATGACAATGTCATCATGGCCAAAGCTGTTGATGCCATGACATCTCGCCAACGCTATCTTCTGCCAGATCCCACAGCGGATGGGAAAAAAAAGCATTGAATGCGTGGTACCATTGATTGACATGCAGACCCAGCAGCAGATCATGAACAATAAATTAGAAGCACTCGCCACTGCCGCTGACATAAGGACCAGCGCACATGATGAGCAATTCAACTTATGAATGTGATGCATAATTGATCGATGTATGCACACAGCACGACATTAGGCTTAGAGCACAAGAAGACAGATTCGCACCCTGCCAAAACAGCAGATGTACTGTTGAAAAATGCATGCGTGGAGGAATAGGTGGTGAACACACTGTGTTTTAATAAAGAAAAAAAAAATCTTGGTATGGAATATTCGTTCCGATTTTTACAACGTGTAATGCAAATAAGTGTTGTTCTAACACCGCTCTGCAATGGTCTTGAGAAGGCTTTAACTATTTGTTTTGGAGGGGAGGATTGGTAAAAGCTTTAAAACCAACATTTATTTGAAGAATGTCCATGCTAGCTGCATTGGAACACTTTGCAGTCCACGTTTGACATATATATATTTTTGACTGTCATCTCCACTCAAAAACCTCACTATTTTTTGCCTCTTCATTTGCCTACTCTTCACGAAAGCCTCCTTTCGGTACAGCGACACGAGTGGGCTTTCAGGTGTAATGGTCTAAGTATATAGATACATATTCAAAACTATTCGAAACGTTGCTACATTAACAACTAGTACCATTTTCTCAAAATATTTTACCCGGGCATTATACAAACAGTACTTGTAAATATCTGGGGCCAGGGATAGTGTATTGAGGTTAAAGTCTCTTTTACGAATAAGACATGGAATAAAAGCCCTAAAGGGACCCTCCATTCAGTGGGAGATCGCTCTTTCTCCTTTGCTGCATCTGTGTCTGCAACTCCCCACCCCCTGCCAGCTGTCCTGTTGCCTTTCTGCCCCTCTTCAAGTTCAGGCTCAGGCCCTTCATTTGTTTCCCTGTATCTATGACTGCCTCTGTAAAATAAATATGCTCACTGTTTCTGGAAAGCATTATCAGTTGTGGTAACATTTAAATGCAATGTAAATACACATTGTGATTTTTTTTTTGGGAAAACGGATAATAAGTAATGGCACATCCATTATTTTCTTGCATTCGCATACACCATTGCCGACAGAAGAGTTTCCACAAGAGGGATCTCTAGGAAGCCCCTCTAAAGGGTTTACACTATGAGACCTCCTTTACCAGTGGCAAAATATAGTAATAGGTTTTTACCCTTTCAACTGGTACAAAAACTGACACCTTTATACAAGGCATCATGTTTGCAATAACAACAACACAAGCAGTCAAAATGCAAACAAAAAGAAACAACTCTGATGGTGGTAATGCTATGCACTGTCCTTGAAGTTGATTGGTCCACACCCGAGACAGCTTTTCTTAGAGCCTAGTCTCTATTGGTGTTGGACCAGATGACGCCAAAAGGCGTACAGGGTAAAAACCTATTACTATATCCTCTAAATGGTATTTGGTCTACTTTTGCATGCTGGCCAGACTTCTTGGAAGAGGTCAGAGTAACCATAGTCTAGCCCCACTTCACATGACCTGCCGATTTACTTTATGTGGTGTACTCATTTATACTGCTCGGTCGACAGCCGCCCTGAGAGATTTAACTGGCCACTGCTGGATAGTAAGCTCGGTCTGCTAACCATTACACAAGGGCAACATCAACATTGTATCACAAGCAGGCATCATTCTAACTGCTAGTTGATTCGACTCAGCAACGGTTGCTATTTTATGATTCAAGCGTTTGCTACTCTGATTCTTCTTTCGACAGGTAACCTGCTGGTGCTGTGGTCGACACGACGGACAGCCATGTTTAAGTCGGTGACGAGCCGCTTCCTGCAGAACCTGGCGGGTGCCGGACTTGGTGCTGGTCTGGCATGCATGCCCCCTGATCTACTCCTCAGCTGCCACCCACAATGCTGCCCCTGGCTAGCCAATCTGCCCGTCCTCTGCCGAGGACTGAAGTTTGCACACCGCCTCTTCTGCTCTGCCCTTGTACTCTCCTTTGGACTGATCGCGATCGACAGGTACCTCTCCACAACTTTCCAATCACAGGCAGATGCCTGTAAGCCCAGAGGGCTAGGCTGTCGCTGCATATTTGTGCAGGGCTTAGTGATTTTGTAGAAATGTTTACTCCGCTATGGGGCTAATAATGGTAATGTGAATTCAACGTAATTTATTCTGTTCATCGTCTTAATTAAAGAACATTCATAAATCTTGGGAATTCATAGGGTCTGATTTCATGGAACAGGTCAAAGGGGCAACCTTTGGCATATTTGTTTGGCTGCTTATTTTTGTCTAAGGTTTATTAGTGTTTTGTTTTGGATTTGGCATGCAAATTATAAATGTTTATTAGTTATGATTGGCATGCTGAAATAAATACAGTATGGAGCCTTCATGCAAGTGAGTTGTTCATATTTAAATGCACGTGTAGTCATATCAGGCACTTTCTTACATTAATAAATGCAAAAAATATATATTTTAAATTGAGCTTGTGTTATATCAGATGAGAGAATGCATAGTTCATACGCTGTAGGTGAGTACTTAGTTTCTGTATCTTTAATGAAAAATTATTTATCAGCGTCGGCACTTAGGTTTTAGTGATTTGATTATTTAGAGATGTATATATTGCATGACAATTGACTCCACAAATTACCAAGTGCTTATATTGAAATCTGCTCATCGATAGCATGTGTTTACACCAATTATTTAATATATCTTGCAGGTACTACTCTGTCCTGTACCCTCTGGAAAGGAAGATATCGGAGAACAAAGCCCGGGACTTGGTTGTCTATGTGTGGCTACATGCGATGGTCGCGAGCTTTCCCGTGTTTGGAATGAGCTACACCATCGACCTGTTCAGTGCCACCTCGTGCCAGCAGAGTTCACAGAGGCCGTCCCCAGCCCAGCTGATCTACACCATCATCTACCACGCCACCACGGTGCTGCTGCCCATTGTGGTCACATTCACGTGCATGATTATGATCCGCCGTGCGCTCAGTGCTAGCCAGAAAAAGAAGGTCATCATCGCAGCCCTCCGGACTCCACAAAACACAATCTCAATCCCCTACCTGTCGCAGAGAGAGGCGGAGCTGCAGACGATGCTGCTGCTCATGATCGCCGTGTTCTTGGTGTGCATGCTGCCATACTTTATCCTGGAGGTGTACCGGACAGTGGTGGACAGCCAGGACCTCCCAGAGGCCTTGCTGCTCACGGCCATTTGGTTCCCCAAGCTGCCCCTCTTGGTGAACCCGCTGCTCTACCTTGGCGCCAACAAGCCCATCCGCAAGGGGATCCTCGTCTCCCTGGCACAACTGCAGCGGCGCTACAGCCGTCGCAACACCGTGGGAGCTGACACGGTGCCCTTGGGCGAGGCTGCCCAGGAGCCATGTGCCCTGCGCTCGGGCAGTCAGCTGCTGGAGATGTTTCAGATCGGGCAGCAGGAAATTTTCAAGCGCAGCGAGGAAGACGACAGGGAGGCAGGTCCTCTCGTGGGAAGCCACACTGGTGGAAGTGCCAAGGCGGAAGGCGCAAACCAGAAGATGCTCATGTCGGATTTGGAGGCTTCACCAGTTTTGTACGACCAAGAGTCGAAGGACCCATTGCCCGGTACAACAAATGCAGAGACTTCCTCTCTGAAGGCGCAGTTTGGTTTCGGGCCATTTGAATTGCCCCCGCAGTGGCTTGCGGAGAATAGGGGCAGCAAAAAACGGCTTCTGCCACCTCTGGGCAACACGCCGGAGGAGCTCATTCAGTCGGAGAACAAGGACTACAGACAGAAATGTGAAAGGAAAATAAACAGGAACAACAAAGTCAGTGATCTTACGGATCTCGACCTGTAACAGACAGCTATGTACACGTCCAGCTATTTGTTTACAAGAAGAACTGTCCATAATTTGTTAATACAAATGTACCTTGTTTGCTAAGTCAATCGTGAACGTTTATTTGTCAACTTACATCTTACGTGGACCTCTTTGTGTGGCTCTTTACAAAAAATACATAACTGGATAAGCTGTGAAATGTGTTAATATTAAGTGGCACACATTTGAATGGATCAATATTTGGAAATGTCTGTGAAACACAACATGTTATAATAAATCTAAAACTTAATATAAATAAATAATCTAGTAGAGATTCCATTCATATAGTAAGGTGCCAACATGTAGTTGTATCATCATTTGCTATCCAAGATTGAATACAAGGCATTTATAGACATTTTGGACTTCGTTATTTTTGTCATATCCACAATCGTTGCAGTAAAACTCCACGCATCAAATATTGTGAAATCACAACCCATAAAAGCGAAGAGTTATTTAAAATAATTATCCACGAAACGATGTATCATTTTACAAAGTGCATCATGGACGAATGGCAAAGTCGCACATATAGATGAATATGTAAGTAATGTTCATTTTAGTCACATTAACACATTACGACATAGTGAATGGTAGTTGGCGCTTGGATATGTAAAATAAAAATATTATTTAAAATTGTAATCCTTACTGGGAAATAGCGACAGTTTTTTCTTCAAATGGGCAAATTCATTATCACAATAAAGTTTCTACTTTAATGTTGTGTTGTTATCTGTGAATTCAATTGTAATGATAAAGAGTGAAAGTGTTAACCACCACTGATGACATACTCATTTTTACAACCAGCAGTAAATACCACAACAAAGGATTGAAGAACTTTCAAAGAAGGCTGAAAAAAAGGGGGTCTAAAGATAAATATTTCAGATATATTACAAAAAACGAAAGTTACGCACAGGTTAATTGAACAAAATAATACGAGTTGTAGGGACACAACTGGAACCAAACAGAATTGTATATATCTAGTGAAATTACCAAAGGCAGACCAGGATCAAAATTATTAATAAAATAGGGAAGGAAAAAGCAGGTTGTAGTGCTTTTGCAAAACTACATTTGATAATATAAAGCAATACCAATGTGCCTATTGAGGATAGTTTTAATCAATGCATCACCTGATATGACATATGGATTGGAAACATAGTCAATGACAAAGCAAATGGAACAAAAGTTGAAAATTACACAAGTATAGAGAAATGCATGGTGGGAATTGCAATGAGAGACAGAATAGGAACTCATGAATCAGGGATCAAATACAAATGAGAGACATAATTTTGAAGTAATAAAGTGGGCTTGGGTAGGACACATCACAAGAAGGGATGATAGAACACGGATGAGAATGGTGATTAAATGGTAGCCAAGCAGCAATGACATCAGCACATGCATTGTGCCATCGCAAGACCGTGAGGGATGGGGGGGGTCTTCATTCAGCAGCGAATAGAACATGATGATTAACAGAGTACATCGACTGTCATCGCACAGTTTAGGGAGATCTCTCAGATGCTGAACTGTTGTGCATACATTTTATTAACAATCCCAGCTATTGTCATATTTTATCTTTTTTAACACTGGCAAATTAGTACTGTGTAACTTTCATCCACAATGTAAATTGTACACGAATGAGTTGTCGACAAATGATTAAATTTGTATAAACAAAATGCTGTCTGATCTTGTTATTTCAGCTATTTTTGCGGGTTGCAATATCTAGCCTGTAAAAACAATGAACAAGAATACATACTCAAATTTGATCATATCCATGCAATATAGAGAACTCCTATTAACTGTGGCAAAGTGGTGGACCAATGCCATGGATAAAAAATATCCGTGAGGTTATCTGCGATTTTACCCTTTATCTGCGGGAAAAAAAAAACTGGATAATCTCAAATAATTCAAAATCTCAGATAATAAATCTCAGAAAATTATAAATCCAATAAAATCGGATTTTTGGAAGAATAGGGCCACTGATAATCAGTTTTTACAGAGACCCAACGACTTCCATGGATGATTCGAATCGTGGACAACAGAGTAATGGATAATAGTTCTCCTTTATTATGCACCGTATAAGGAGAACATGTTGTTTTATTAGCAGTAATAGTGAGGAGATTTAAGGTCTGCATAGGAGGCTGTGGGATGTATTATATCCTGAAAACGCTGATTCAGGATAGGGGCAAAATGCGCTTGGCTGTTCCCCTTCCCTGAACACCCATTGCCATGGCAACCCCATCTCGACTGAGCAAGGGATGTGAACGATGCGTAATGCAACCGCAGTGCGTCAGAGAGAATATTTGTTTATATTTTTTTATTTTCGGGAGGTATAAATATCACCACGTCACTTTTGCATGTTCCCCCGAGTGGCTTTTTATTCTCAAAATAGGTATCTTTTGTAAAAAAAAAAAAAGGTTGAAGGTTATGTTGGTGCATATACAGCAGTCATATATGGAGCAGAAACTCACATGGGTATGGTGTGTAAGTAACACAAATGGAGATGCTTTATTTTTTTTTATTTTTTTTTACACATTTTAATTTCTACCTTTCGGGGGTTTGTTGGTACTGATAGTTTTGAAGAGTCACACGTTTCAAGGTTACACACATTGAAGCCTATAAACATACAGAAGAGAGTATGTGTTAACTGTGAGTATAATATTGGTGTGATATTTTTACAATAATTCATATACTACAGTACTTTTAATGAACGTATATTATGAGGCATCAATATTAAATTTACAATTCAAAACCCGAATATAATAAAAATGCACAGCATTGCCAATTCCCGAATCAATGTTCACTTAAGAAGGCATATGTTAAATAACATACTCCTGTGGGGGGAGCTGGGAGGAACGTTGGGTTGCTCGGTCAATGACCAGGGTCAACGGCGGCGTGGTGTATTCCGCAAATATGGTCGATTGTGAGGGCGGGCACAAGCCGGCGTGAGTAGGTTAAACGTTGAGTTTTATAAGAGCACCACGGGGTGACCAGCCCCTCCCCACCCAGCCCCACCCCTCCCACTCCCCACCCAGTCCCACCCTCCCCACCCAGCCCCTCACCACCCAGCCCCTCCCCACCCTCCCCACCCAGCCCCTCCCCACCCTCCCCTCTCCACCCACCCCCACCCCTCCCACCCCTCACCCAGCCCCACCCTCCCCACCCAGCCCCTCCCCACCCAGCCCCTCCCCACCCTCCCCACCCAGCCCCTCCCCACCCTCCCCACCCAGCCCCTCCCCACCCTCCCCTCTCCACCCAGCCCCACCCCTCCCATTTTTGGATGCACGACGGACGGACGGACACAATAATCCCCTGTGGGCTGGTGTAACCAGGAGGTTCCTACCAGTATTAACATTGCCTTATCATTTTACAGGGAAATGTCTTAACGAAACAGTGCTAACCAAATTCAAGAACGCGTTCATGCCATAATTCGCCGAATGATAAAAGAAAGCATCCAGGCCAGTGAGCACTTTAAATCTCCTATATGCAGCTTGAGTTTGAGATAACGTGACCTCTTAATAACATCATGAACACAGATCAGCCATTATAACCTACTGGCGGTCCGAATGCACAAATAAAAAAAATTACCTATCGCTATAGTTCATATACATTTCCATTAATCTAAAGAATGATATTAAATCGCTGCAAATGTAGAATTATGTATTCATCACAACCATTGTTTTTATACCCAATTAAAGTTGCATTGTTTTTTTTTCAAACACATCCCATACATGTCAACCCATACGGTTCACCCCGTATTCTTGTACAATGAAATTGAGTTTTCTGGTCCATTGTTTTGTCTATTTGTTTTAGTTTCTCCCTTGTGATGGGACTTTGTAGGATGAACGTTGAGATGTATAAGGGCACGGGGTGACCAGTGAGGTCTGAATTGGTCTGTAAGAAGGTAGGCACTGATTAGGGGTTGAGAGGTATGACATCCCTTCATATTCCATTCTTGTCTCACGAACAGAGACGTTGTCTCAATGTGTTTTCATCAGCCCGATGAACTGTCCTGAAAACCAGATGATTAATTGAAACTCATAATAATAACACTCCTCTATGAATGTGCAGTGTTTAGTGTCATTTAAACACCCATTGTTCATATCTCCCGTGCAGGAGAGACAACGCATCTCAATTGTCTCTCAATTGTCTATAAAAAAAAAGCACATTCAATGGGATTGAATGAAAGCTATACTCTTAGGTTTTTTCGGTAAAGTCACGTAGGCAAAAAAAATAATAATAATAAAAATAATATAATTATTATTTTATTTCTATTGTTATTTGTATTATTTTTTTATGATTTATTTTTAAAAATAATAATATAAATAGTAGTTTATTTGTATTAGTATTACCATTACTTATTTATTAATTATTTTTTACCTACCTGACTTTACCGAAAGAACAACAAGAGTATGAGTCCTTGCAGTCACGAAAGCTTCAAATCTAGAATGAATGAAAGCTATTGAATGGGGCTGGCAAGTGGGAACCCTAAGAAACCAAACGGTGTCACGTGGTCCCAGTGCTTTAAACAGTTGCCTAGCAACGGCGTGGTCCAGTCAGGCGAGCCAAGGCCCGTGCCGGTAATGATGAACAGACGTCGGCGTTTATTGACGTTTAACAATTGTTATCACTGTTAAGTCGATTCATGTTATTTCTTGGTAAATGTTTCAAGTTGAGCGCGATGCAACTCGTTAATTGTCAGTGACATTTTACAGAGAACTGCGGGACATATTGATTGTTGCGTCGTTGTAAACCTCAGCGTTTGTATATCTGTGGCACGTCAGATTTAAAGTTGTACATCGCAACCGCAGGGAACTATTCCGTAGTAGTGTTTTTTTAAGAGTGAGTTTGTCAACAGCAATTTGTTCGTGAGCGTGCACAACGACACAGCATACAGCAGTACGGCATTCGGTTATCTATGATCACTGTTTCATTGCTTTCATGGCTTTATTTTGGTGATTTTCGAAACGTTTTTTGGTTTAGGCCATGTTTGTTTGTTTTAGTACGGAGTTAGACTGATGGCCTTAATCTAAGTTGTCTTGTGGTTGTTGTTGTTGTTTAACTTGCATCCCACTGGGATTTTTGCACACAGTGTTGGTGTACGGTGCTTTCTCTGCAATATTTTGCAGTCTTTTCTGGGATTTTCTGTTTGCACATAGTCACATATTCACTTTAAGATGTGTAAATGAACTTGAACTTGAAGGTAACGAAATGTTGTGTAACAATCCCCTCGCCCCGGGGAGTCGCAAGCAAAATAACAACAAGTGTGCAAGAGCCGCAATGCATGCGGATACGAGATGCTTCTTAATTACCGCAAAAAAAACGCCACGAAAGCAGTCCTTAAAGAGCCGTGGGCCTTTACGACGTGCCGTGGTGTAATTATACCCAGAGGTTATGGATTGGTTCTATTTCATCTTCCTGCGCAGGAGTTGACACAATGGGCAAATAACATGAATGGGTACACCGCAGTTACATAGCTGTCAACCCGGAGGGTTTACCCCGTATTCTTGTACAGGGAAATCTATATAAGAACGGGAGACACAGCAGAGCCTCACCATTCTGGCGAATTGCCCGATGATGCTGGATGCAATTACCAGCGAAACGTCGTACTCAAATTGTAAATGTTGTGGCTTCAACACACCGGTGGGCTAAAGCAGTGAACTATTTGTCTTTGTCAACGTGACACATTTTTACTGATTGGCCGTGTCGGGTGGTGGAGGGTTACGACACATTTATAAATAACGCGATCTAAACCCAAAAACGTTGATTATGAACAGGGAAATTGAGTTTTCAGGTCCATTGTTTTGTCTATTTGTTTGTGTTTCTTCCGTTGTGATGGGACTTTGTAGGACGAATGTTGAGATTTATAAAGACACGGGGTGACCAATAAGGTCTGCATTGGTCTGTAATAAGGTAGGCACTGATAAGGGGTTGACAGGTATGCAGTTAGTCGGTCATCAGTAGCCTATGTAGTGTGGTAAAGGGTGGGTACTCCCACCACCTCAAGCATGTCTCATCAGTGTGGAATTGTAGAGCTCAATATATTGTAGTGAACGCCCTCCGCCAGCAGAGGCATGTGTAGAGCTACACTTTCATTTTACATCTAAATACCGCTTGTCTATTTAGAGCCAGGTATAAGTATGATACATTATTCTGTATTTGTGTATATAGTGGAGGGTTGCGAAAGCCTACGTGTTAAACTGATATTGTTTCCTGCATGCGCCTTTCGTGCAGGATTTATTGAAGGGCTTCTTCACATTCTTGGTTCTTTCGGTAAAGTCACGTCGAAGGGAAACAATAAAATTATAAAAATATAAAACAATAACATTCTGACGACATTTCGATTGCAACACAAGCAATCATCATCAGGTGTGGTTTTCACATCAGGTGTGGTTTTCACACCTGATGATTGCTTGTGTTGCAATCGAAACGTCGTGATAATTGTATTGTTTTATTATTTTATTGTTTCCCTTCTACGTGACTTTACCGAAAGAACCAAGAATATAAATCCCTGCAGTCACGAAAGCTTTAAATTAAAATGCTTCTTCACACTTTAAAGTGACGGTCTTCTCATTTTCATATATGCAGTCGTATCTTACCCTGCGTAGTTAATCAATTACATATTGTACTGTATTTGTAGTTTGAGTGTTGTTCTCTTATATGTATCCTTTTTATCCAAAAACTTCAGTGGTCGGTTGCATACAAAACCTGAAGTGGAACCGGTTTGGATTTAAAGTACTCTAGTACAATGTAAGGGGAAAATATAACTTAAGACGTGTTATTATCTTGGTCACGTTCTTATTACATTAAACCATTATTTGAAAGGAATGGGCCTGACATTTCAACAAGAAGCTGCTAAACTATGGGGACCTCATTTGCCAGTAAAAATATGATAATTGGTTCTTTACCCTTCTATCTGGTAACAAAACTGACACCTTTTTGCAAGGAGTCATGTTTGCATAGACCGCAATACCTGCAGTCATAATACAAACAAAAGAACATAACTCTGATAATGTGCACTGTCCTTGAAGTTGATTGGTCCACACCCGAGACAGCTTTCCTTCGAGCCTAGTCTCATATGGGTTGGACCAGATGACGCCAAAAGGCGCACAACTCAAGGACAATGCACCATCAGAGTATGAGAGCTCGGGGCAAGCATCTACACTATGGGGACCTCATTTGCCAGTAAAAATATGATAATTGGTTCTTTACCCTTCTATCTGGCAACAAAACTGACACCTTTTTGCAAGGAGTCATGTTTGCATAGACCGCAATACCTGCAGTCATAATACAAACAAAAGAACATAACTCTGATAATGTGCACTGTCCTTGAAGTTGATGTTCTTTTGTTTGTATTATGACTGCAGGTATTGCGGTCTATGCAAACATGACTCCTTGCAAAAAGGTGTCAGTTTTGTTGCCAGATAGAAGGGTAAAGAACCAATTATCAAGAAGCTGCTAAATTTCAAAGATTCAACTGATATTTCCCTCGGAATTTTTACATTAAATAAATATATTTTAATTCAATTTTTTGTGCTATTAGTGTCCTGCCATGAGACAAGTTTAATTCATTTTGATATTTCGCAGACTAGTGCATTATTTAATGTTCGAGAAATGGCCCATAAAAGCGAATATTACAGAGTTCCCTCTGAGATTCCTCCGTGACCTGTTTTGTACACATTAGGGGACAGCACTTTCCACCTACTCTGCCACTGAGAGCAACTTTTGGCAGTCAAACCAATATATTAATTCTCAAAACTGGAATTTAGGCAAATTAAATGCAGAAGCAAATTTAATATTGGTTTAACACGTAGGCTTTCGTGACCAATATTATTCATAATAAAGTTTTTGGTTTAGATCGCGTTATTTATAAATGTGTCGTAACCCTCCACCACCCGACACGGCCAATCAGCAAAAAAGTGTCACGTTGACAAAAGACAAATAGTTCACTACTTTAGCCCACTGGTGTGTTGAGGAGTGGAACCACAACATTTACAATTTTTTAGTACGACGTTTCGTTGGTAATTACATCCAGAATCATCGGGCAAAACATCGTACTCAAACATTGTAAATGTTGTGGTTTCACACACCGGTGGGCTAAAGTAGTGAACTATTTGTTTTTTGTCAACGTGACACTGTTTTTGTTGATTGGCCGTGTCGGGTGGTGGAGGGTTACGACACATTTATAAATAACGCGATCTAACCCAAAAACGTTTATTATGAACAAATTTAATATGTAGTTTTTTTGTGCTATAAAGTAATTAGTGGCAGGGCTGAGATTAACAACTCGCTACACTTGAGAACCTGATTTAATAACATACGGATGTATGGATATGTACCCAAGTTCTCAGCTGTGCCATTTCTGTGCTCTGACCTCTGGAGCTATCCAGCCACTTCTCCTGGGATAAAAAAAGATATATATATTACAGCGTTGTCCCATAAACCCATTCATGCGATCCCACTATTGCACAAGAAACCTGGGAACTTAATTGTTTATAAACTGTATAGCATGTCGTGTATGTATTAAAAAAATACTGTACAGGTTATCATCCTGTTTAAATTGTTATGATAAGAACAAATACGCGATAGACAATTTGATAACATTGAAAGCCACTTTATGCCAATACATCCTTATTTGTTTTTTAGCATACAGTATTTCCTTAACATTTTAATAACATAACTTACCCTCAATTGAGCAGCAAATGCAGAGATGGAAGCAGCATAGATTTCCAAAATACCCATGTCAGAAGTGGTAAATACAGTTGATATAGCTACTGATCGTTTTTCATGCATTTATCACTGGAAATATTGTATCACTCGACATGGACGTGCAAAGAAATCCGGGCAGATGCAATGTGCACTTGACATCGGAATTTATTATATCTATATGACTCTAATTTGCAAAGCCATATTGCTGTTCAAGCATGCTGCTTTATATGAAACATTTGTATTCTGATTATTTTGGTAATACATTATGAGCTTAAATATGATCTTGACCAACGACAATCTAATTTTGACCATATACTTAAACATCGTAAATCTTTTCTATACCCCGTCTGAATTACGGTCTCCCCACACCATCTTTATCCTTTATGGTTATGCGATGCCACCATCCATCTTATAATATGGCCAATAAAAACGCTAAGTAACCTTAATTTTATTCCCTGTATATATGATTTATTTTTGTTGGAAGAAAGTGGGGGCTAGCTCCATACACGTGACTGTTGGCAAATTAATAATACAGGGCAGATTTTATAGTGAACATTTTCTGATCAAATGCAGATAGAGGTGGAGCTCACCTCCTCTTTACAGCTCTGAGCCAGTTGTGGAAAATCCATATCGCTAGCTTAGTCTTCAAAGGATAATCCAAGTGGTACCCATTTTATTGACTCCAGATGGATACTGAGCTGAGTTAACACCAAACCAGGATTGGAACTTACAACTTACTGCTGAGCCACCTGATCAGATATAAAACACATAAAATAAACATAAATTTCGATTTAAAGCTTTCGTGACTGCAGGGATTCATATTCTTGGTTCTTTCGGTAAAGTCACGTAGAAGGGAAATAAAATAATAATTAAAAAATGCCTTTCCAACAGCCCTGTTTCTTCACCTGAGGACGGCTGCTTGCGTTGTGGCCTGAAACGTCGTGAGAATTTTATTTTATTATGTTTTATTTGTATCATGTTATTATTTCCCTTCTACGTGACTTTACCGAAAGAACCAAGAATATAAACATATAAACTCTTCCGATAATATGTACGCCACTTATGCAATAGCACAATCACCGAACAAATTGCCAACACTCTCCTGAATCGCATGAAGCCTTGTTGATTACGTCACTGCATTGGGTGCTTGTTGTTTGCAGGGCAACACGACGTGTTAAAATGGACATCGTACGGGGCAGCCTGGAGGAGATTTCGCGTGCGCCCTCTTCGGGACGGACCAGGCCAGGGAGCCGCGCGGGCAGTGCTGTGGCTGGGGAGCGGTCCCGGTCCAATGTCTCTCCTGCAGGAGGGGCCCTAGAGGTCTTGAGTCCTGAACCTCCAGCCCTAAAGGTCAGGGACTTTGGCATGCTCTTAGTATATATATACACACACCAATGTGCCTAGCATGATAATGATACGCACATTGTTATACTACAGACAGTGTGTAGCATAATAATTATTTGATGAAAACATCGGGAGTCCACAGAGACGGAATTGTGTTTTGCAAAGCAGAACTGGGAAATTGCAGGACTCTATTTAATATGCCATTCGAGTAAAGTACATAGTGTTATTGTGTTTATGATATATTCTGATGAATGACCTTTATTACACGAGTGCATTGATTTATATTGCACTTTCATGCATAGGAATATTGACATGGGAGGACATATGTAAGCCGACCCAAGCCATATGGATTAAACCTACCAAAACGGGTTTACAAATTATGACATACATTTTGAGTAAACTGAAAACGATGCTATTGAAAGGTTGTTGTCTTGATGTAGTTGTGTATATTTATAACTCGAATTTGGAATTGAGTCTTAATTAATGGGTTATTTTCGAGCAAAGAATATAAATCATGATTTGTAGATTGGAGGAGATTTCACGTGCGCCCTCTTCGGAACAGACCTCTCATGTTTGCTTTCATATTAAAGCTATACATTACCTTATTCCTTTTGGATTTCAGCTTTTAATGGCCTTATCACTAAGATATTCACAGAGCTCATCTGAACATTTATTGTGCATTATTTAATGAACAAATGTAAAAGTGAAGCACGAGTTTTTTATCATTGGCCTTTTAGTGAAATTGGGATCTACTTTCTACATGCTTTTGTTGGTGAAGACTCACCACATTGCAGTGCTTGTATACGCTGCTGATTTGCTCCAACTGTTTCAAAAATTATAACGAGAGCCAAGAGTCATACAGCTTTCATAGCACCAGAAGCCTGCACGTTTGGCTAAGTGTAAAAGGGTTGTGTGTGTAAAAAAATGTGCATTCGCTGGATTATAAAAGGAAATAAAGCAACACCTCATATATCCTAACTACATCTCAGGGACATCATGTCCTAGATGTAAAAGTTGTTTATATGTTTTCACATGTTATTTTTCAGGATCGTACTATTTCAATAGAAGATATTAGCGATTTATCTACTGACTCTGATACATGTTTAAATGAGGACATAGTTGTTCAAAAATACAACTTTGATCCAACTGCAAATGCTGATAAAATGTTAAAAATTAGTCCATGCATTTTGGAAACCAGGATTGGTAGCCCTACTGAGTCGGAAGAAGATCAAGAAGAGCTCAATACTATTGCATTTGCTGGGAAAAATACCAGTCAAGAGACTCAAGAAGGTATGTATAAATATATAATTACAGTTACAATAGTAATACAACTGTAATTTATAGTTTAATTACACATAATTCAACCACATGTGTCATCTTATAATCTTACTGCAGGATTATCCCAAATGATGTAAAACACAAATATAAATCATTTTTTTTAAGTTGCAGATCATACAGTTGACAATAGGGTTCAGAAAGCTCTGGAGAAGATGAAGAAATTGGACAAGATTTTATTACGGAAGCAGGAGAGAGAAAATGAAGTGAAGAGAGAAGGTAGAGAGCTTTTACAAACATTGTGGAAAGAACTGCAGGTAATTTTGCCTCATGCACAAATCATCTTTAGAGTTATTTGCGAAAGTTCAATTATAATAGAACTTTCGATTGATAATGATCAATCCTTCAATCGTCCCTATTATGTTTGACATTAAGGTAAATTATCTCTACGGATATCCTTAATTAGCCATTCTGGCCATGAACAGCCGATCATGTTTCTCTCAAAAAGGATCAGTAAAAGACAATTTCAGGTAAATAGTGTGTTAATGAGCTGTATTTAAAGGAATTGCACTTACTGGGGTGGTGTAAACAAAGTAAATTGCATTATGTTTAAACCTTATTTATTTTCTATTTTTTGTCAAATTTTTCAGTGCTTATTTCATTGTTAACTAGTTGTATTTCGTGGATGCTATGTGATTCACTTGTTGTGACTTCTTTGAATGCGGAACAGAATGGGGAGAATGTAAGTGTTGAAGAAGAAGAAAATACAAGGAAGTATTTAGCCTTGATCCCACCTACCAGCTGTGCATGGGATGGTAGGTCTTTAAGTAGTTTACTTCTATCAATGTATTTTCAATATTTGTAGTATTATATGCTATTTCAATTACCAATGTATGTATGTTGAATCTTGACTTAAAGCTTTCGTGACTGCAGGAATTCATATTCTTGGGTCTTTCGGTAAAGGCAGGTAGATAGGTTATTTTTGTTATTTTCTTTGAATCTATCTACGTGACTTTACCGAAAGACCCAAGAATATGTATGTTGAACTTACGCACTCTACGTAGCCAACTGTGCTAATTGGAGGTGCGGGGGAATGACAACAAACCAAGTCGGTGCTATATGTTTAAAAGGAAGAACAAATATGCATTCTGACCATCAAATTTTATTTGTTAGAGGTTACTTTATTTTTTATTATTGGAAGTAAATATACACATCACATAGTGTAAATGGTTTAATTATAAATAGTAACCCTAGTTGACGTGTTTGCTATTTGAAAACATGTGTACCCAATTTTTTCTGGATTGTGCAATTGGTGTCTTGTGATCAGACAATCAACTTGAATATCTCTCAAAGCATTGCGACTCTTCATGATAGAAAGTAGATATTACTAAGCTACCACTGAAATCCCTTAAAGTGGCCCATTTCACAACGGAGGGGCCATCACATTCCCACCAACTCTACGACTGAGAGTAAAGTCTTTAATTATCAGCCAAATTAATTTCAGAATCAAAATTGAATATGATAGTTTTTGGTGCAATCATTGGTGATCGGGCACATTCTCTCAACCCGCTTCACTTGATAACCTGGTATTCAAATACAATATTTAAGTAGTGTCAGCTCAGTGCTCTGACCTCTGAGCTACCTTGCAAGTTATATCCTTAATTATTTACATCTTATATGGTATTATAATTATTTACATGCAGTGCAGTAATGTATTATGTATTTACATTTTCCATATTTAGTAGTTTTTTGTTGTAATTTTTTTTTACCTATCTAAATCACTATAACCGAAAAGACCCAAAGAATATTAATTCCTGCAGTCACGAAAGCTGTAAGTCAACATTTTCCTTGTTTGCAGATGACAGCTTTGATGGGGCTCCAGTTACGCCACTTTTTCACACCCAAGTACCTTTTGAAGAAAATAATGAAACACCTACACGGCAGTGTGGGTCAAGTAAGCCGCACTAATATATGCATCAGCACGGTATTGAGAGATAATTAAATTTAAATATTTAAATTTAAATAATTTTATTATTGATTCCAGCTGCATTGAGCTGTTTACCATATCTTTCAACAGGATTAACAAAAAGCTCATCCAACAGAACCCAACGCCACAGTGCAGATGGCGCATCAATGCGTGGAATCTACAAAGAATGTAAATCAAAGACAAATCTTCAAGAAAGTGAACGCAATTTCATTCGAAAGAACATAGAGGTAATCTTGTCAGAGACCAATATCGTTAAATTTATTTAGTGTAAAATACATGATCTTGTTCAAGAGGTCATGATCGTTGTACGTTTAATCGTAATTAATTGTATAATTTGCAAAATTACCCCAATTTTTCAGATGGTGCGAGAAGTGGGAAACCCAATTCAAATAACGGAAGATGAAAAGAGCAGGCTTTTGCACCTTCCTACAGGACATTGATGAGTCAGAAGATTCACATGCTGATTCTGAGGACAAGGTAAGATGTTTCATTGACCTAATTAATTTTTTACAAACCATATGCCAATTTAAAAACTTAAACAACATAAAAGAATTACAGGAGAGACACAATTGGAAAACTCAGTTGAATATTATTACCTGGGGAGTTATTAAATGCAGTTTGATATAATAATGATGAAATTCATAAACTCAATTTGATATTGAAAGCAACACACCAACATGCGAGAATGCAGCTTTTAATGTGAACATTACTTTGATGTAGATCAAAAACATGGATACCGACAATGAAAATGGAAATATGTTGACAAGTGTGTGAAGAAGGATGCAAAGATGCACAATACGAATTACAATGAGATGGAAATAAGAACACATAGATCAGGGAACAAACAAAAAATCAAAGACATAATTTACGAGACCTGGGTTTTGGTAGAATACATCACTAGTGAAGATGGGCAATGGATGAGACTGGTCAAGAAATGGTAGTCAAAGTTTAGAATGTGCCCAAGTGCACAACCACCACAAATATTGACTAACAAGATTAGTTCCATGTGCAGGCATGAGATGGTTTGTGACAATACAGGACCGTGAGGATAGCGATAACGTGGGGAGCCCTTCATCCAGCAGTGGACAGGAATATAATGATGATGATAACATATTTTACCATGTAATATGGAAACAATTGTCTATATGCTAAATTGACAGTACATTAATTTCAAACGACTAAATAGTGTTTTTTGCAGGCACGAAAGCTTTAAGTCAAGACTAAATAGTGATAAAATTTATTTCACCCATTTAGATACGGTATATTACAATGGCATGTTAGAATGCTAAATTCGTTTTTTTATTGCTGCACTGAAATTAATCTTGACACTTCATGCATAGCTGTAGTATTTGGTGAATGTGTTAAATGTTACTGCCACATGTACACACTAGGTGGCACCAGAGGTATTGTATTTTTAACTCATTGGACGTGCCTTTGGATTCATAATAAATATTATACATATAAACGCCTAGGTATGAATAATACTGGTCGCGAAAGCCTACGTGTTAAACTGTGCCTTTGGATATTACAATTTTGTGCAGTTTAGAAAAACATTGATTTGACTCGCATATCAGTAATTTTTATACGCACAGTCGAGCAATACTTGATCTTTTATGATACGTTAAATCATTGACAACCTCCGTTATTGGTAATGCTAAACAGTTTAAATAGTATCTTACTGCAGATAACATATCCAGTTCAGACATTACCTCTGTCTATAAAAATGTCCTGCATAATATATTTATAGAAGCTTTGACTATCCAAATTACTCACATCATTTATTTGGCATTGTGTAATGTCATTTGAAACTGGAATGGTGTAATGTGTCCACATTTAAGTCTAAGAGTGTATTTGATATTTGGTTCAAACTTGGTTTATTTTAATATTTTTTATTTTTATGGATTATTTTAATGGTGGTTTATTTTAATGTTTTTTTTTAATGTTTTAAATCATTTAAAGTCTTACTTGGTATGATATTCTCCTCAAACGTTGAAAATAGTACTAAAACATAACTTCCAAAAAACATGTTGAATCTAAATCACAGCACTTTGTATATCGACTATTGAATGAAGCCCTTCTCACACCATGTCGGTCATGGTGATTGTTTGTGCATACTTCACCATGCTGGTCAGTGCAGATTAGTGAGTGGAGATACCCAGGGACAATTCAGATATTACTCATCAAAGATGTTAGCCATGGGCAGGAATACAACTCCTTTGACCTGGGTTCGTAGCATAGGGTTACAATCATTGCTCTATAAACAAATTGTGTTTTTTTGTTTTGCATATGAACTAACACAGCAAGCAGTGGAGTGTGCGGTAGTGATGGCTGGCGAGGGCTACGTGCCCGAGGTGAATGAGCAGCAACAGCTGGAGGAGATAGACAGCCGATTGCATTCCATCCTTCCTGCCGAGCAGTTCGCCCTCATCAGAAGCACACCTCACCTCGACTGCCACTCCTTTCAGCAGGTATCAAAGAGGAGTAACCACCCATGGGGAACCAGTCATGAACTGGTCACAAAAACAAAAGAACAATTTTGATGTTTGGTTTTTAAAAGCAGGTTGGGCTTAGAACTCTGCCGCTGAATGTTGCCTGCATCCACTGTAATTCAGTGTGAAAGGATCTAGAAGGACATGTCCACAATGGGAGTTATTAACAGTCTTGTAGATTGGTTGGAATTTGAAAATAAAAAATATAAATACAGTCAATTTTTCAGGTGTTTATAATTTTTTGTCATCGTATATAATGGGCCAAATTTATATTGTATTGTCTCTTTAGCCTGCTTTCGTCTGGTTGGCTATGATTAGACTTTTATATAAATCCCTAGCATAGTAAGCAGGTAGTCTCTGTATCTGTATATTTCAGCCAAGTCACTCTCATTTAGTTTTCTAAAATGTAATCACAATATTTGTCACCAAGAATAACTGTTAATCTATGGCCAAGGACTCTTACTCTCGATATTTTTCATTGGCAACTTTGAACTTCTCATTTAACAGGCATGGATGTTAAATGTTTATTACGTGAATTTTAGGAACATGTTTCTCTTTGTAGCATTAATATTTAGCAATTTAGTATTCCTTGCATTTAGCATAGACCCGACTGCACTGCTCTTGACATTACTTATGGAGATAATATCCGTTTTGTACACCAATATCATAAAACAGCATGCTGGTCTGAGGTCATGCGGCAATGTGGGTAATGCTTTAGGGTCCTTTGTGAGATCCCAAATACTATGAAGGCTTGCAGCACTGGTGGGACTGCATGACGCATTTGTCCAATGAGATGAAGTAGATATAATGTTAAATGTTTAATACGAATAGAATAAAAGAAAATACAGCATCACGACGTTTCGATCGCAACACAAGCGGTCGCCATCAGGCTGCTTGTGTTGCGATCGAAACGTCGTGATTTGTTTTATTTTATTTATAACTACGTGAATTTACCGAAAGAACCAAAGAGTATGGATTCCTGCAGTCACGAATGGAATATTTAGTAATCTGTTGAATTACTGGTTGTGACAAATACTTTAGCTTGTTTTTATTATGAGGTCTTGATATGTATTGAATTTTTAAAGCCTTTATATATATAAAAAAAATTATGGAGTAGTTTGGTGTACGTTATATCAAGCATAGCTTCAAATATAAATATACGATTTTTTTATAAATATAAAAACATGAATATGAACATACCATATTTTATATAAATGGAGCATACTGCAAGGTGTTCTATGTAATTTGAGCATAATTGTGAAATACATTACCATGTATTACCATGTATTTCACTGTTAAATGAATTGGTTTCAAATGTATGATTCACTAAAGTAGAATTCACTTTAAGACATACAATTCTGCCCAATAAATGAACCTCCAGTTCCTGATGAAGCTATAATTTCCTTTCAAGTCATATGTTGCATGATAACTTAGTGTGTTGACAAAAAAGGTCCAATCTCATTAACAGCACTATATGACACACCGAAAATAATAAACTTGCAGATCGGATGTAATTATACAAATATTTTGCGACCGTGACACACATATGGTGCTCAGATGTTATGCGGTAATTGTGTGATCCTGTTATGGCAATACAGTTTATTTCGGTTTTGAAGGAAAACTTCTGTTCCGTGCAAAATGTGTGGCTCATGAAAGCTGCCCTTGTGCGATAAGACCAAATACAAACAAATAAGTTAAACTTGGCAAGGCCTGGACAAACATAGATTTTACATTTTGGTTCTTTGAAAATACATTGGAATCTTTGTATCAAATGTGTTTCAAGTCATAGCAACACAGACATCCACTCTCCCACATGACAATGCTTGTATATTTGCGAGGCATGCAATGATTCTCACCCCTCACAATGTGATGAATTGTCACAATTTAGGGTTGCAATTTGATATTGACGGCAGGAGAGTTTATGGAAAATTATAGCAATATCACACTCGAATGTAACCTTACAAAAAATGGTCTTTTGGTAGTGTATTCATATTCATTTTAGCCTGCTGGCTGAAAATATTAAATATATATGACATTGAGATTTATTCATGATAGTATTAATATTCAAAATTGTTGTTATGGAAGTCCCATACATAAGTCATCATCATTATTTGGTGTTATTATTCAATTAAAGAGTTGTTTTTTGTCACATTGAGTTCATATCTATCTTTACATTTGCCTAAATAGAGCAATATAATTTGCATAAAACACAATAATGTATTCTTACGCAAAATAAGATGCGTGTATTATAAGAAAATAATGAATTGGAATAACTACCTTGATTGTTACATGCCTGTTAATAGCTCATCGTTTAAAATGTACTGAAATTCATTGTGTGCGCATCAGAAAATAGTAACGCTATGAAATTAAGTACAGGTTAATTTGTAGCCTAATTTCCTGTTGTAACGTAGACCATTCTGTTTGTCCCGTTGTGTAAGGCTGAATAGGATGTGTAGTCCCGTTGTTTTCATGTTTCAAACATCCAAGGATAAGCACAGTCTGTTGCTACGGAAGTCTCAACAGCAGCTAAACGTGGTGTGACCCCTGAGCCAATGCGTCGAGTGTAAGCTGTGCCTTTTTAGATTTGAAATCTTGTGTCGTGCTGGCCCATAGCTAGCCAGCTTGAAAATTAATTGCGTAGCTTTCATGCTCTTTATGCAAGAGTGCAGCATTTCCAACTGCACTCAAATTAAGCTTGTAGAATTTTATTTCATTTGATGAAATAGTTGTACATGTAGATTGTAATTTTGTGCTTCAGAATTTTAGGTTGAATGCAGTCTATTCTCTTGCAGTTATGAGTAGTTTCAAAACACTACCACAACAATATAGCTGCCACTACTATGAATGGTTGACTAAATTGTGTGAAACAGGCAGCTGAGAAAAAGTACACAAAATACCCACTACAGGCTTGTGGCATAACAGTGAAAGCAAAAGTTTTAAAATAAGCAATGCAAGTGTACATATTTAAATTATAAATGAATAAATAAGGAAATATGCATGAACAGAGTCGTTCTTTATGCACTGTGAGCTCCATTTAGCCGGTGTAAATGCCTGGTTAAAATACAGTCTTGTATCCACAAACATTGTGTAATGTCTTCTACAGCTGCTTCAGGTCTATCGTCAACATACACTCGATGTAAAGTTTTAAATGTCCAATATGTGAAATGTGTGTGGCTCAGCAGCAGAGCGGGTTGCTACAATCGGAAGGTTTCAAGTTCAAATCTTTATTAGGGGTTGATTCTGCCCATAATTCTTCCAGGGTTGATAAAAATGAGTACCAATTCGTAATGAAGTCAACAGTGCGTGTCCAATGGCTAATCTCACTCCTGTCACAGGAATGTGGAATTTCGACCTCAGGCTCAAGGCTGCAAACAGAATATGAGCACATACTCTTTGCTTGTTTGAGCAGGACATCACTTTGACTATAGCTCATTGCAGTCAACTGAAATTACTTGTCTCCGTAAGAGGGTAGCCATTTGATATGCACTGCAAAGCATGTTCTTTGGGTCTTTCGGTGAAGTCACCTAAATAGAACAATAAAATAATAAAAATAAAATAAATATTTTTTATTATTTTTTATTCCTGCAGTCACGAAAGCTTTAAGTCAAGACACTACAAAGCACTTTTTAAAAGTAATAAATCAGAAGTGAAATCTGACATATCATTGCCAGTTTCTAAAGTTGTATACTCTAACTGTAATTTGCATTTACTGGTAGCAAAGAATGCCACAATTTACTTATAATGCACCATTGGAGGACTCCAACATTTTCCATGTGAGAATGACCACCTGATGCCTGCATGCATTGAATGGGTAGATTCTCAAACTTGTCATCCTGCATACTTGATTTTTTTATCAAAATGTTGCACCTGTAGATATTTCGTGAGATTGAGTGAAGTGCAATCCAATCTACAGTAGATCTATACACAATTATATTGTATTACTTCCCAAACAATAATGTCAGGATTACAGTTTGAACTCGTTATATACAATAATATTCACTTTTATTTTCATGATTTCACATTTGAAACTTTTTATACATTTTCACATTCAACTAACACTTTTCATTTTGTTGTACCAATTGTAAAATTTACTTTGTTGTAGTTCTTGTAGTGTTATAGTTTAAATATTTACACTTTACAATAAAGATACGTATCTTTCCATAGTTAACCTTCTCTGAAACATCAATTGTCTCAGCATTGGTTAAGCCAAAAAGAACAAGAGATAGTGCTCTTGGGAAATATTGCAATCTGATCATTCATTTTCGATTTGTGGAATGGGTTTTTTTTGTGCAGACCATCAGCTTTGAAGCCAATGAACTTAAAACAAAGGTCAAAGCAACTGTAGTGGATTAGCCTGAGTGACGATGAGGCAGAACATATCTGTTTCAACTGATTGTTGACCCAACACCGTCTTTTATTTGTCAATGTTTAAATATACCCATTTATTATCCCTTGTCTTACAGTACTCATTGTTGGTCACCATGACAATGTTTGGTATTGTGTGCAGCAGCTGCAAACCAGCTGTCAAAGTGAAAACATCAGAATCTACAAATAGCTGACCCACAGGGCAACCGAAACAACCTCTTTGTGTCAAAGTTCGACTTGGGGCATGGTTGTCGAATGGACAGAAAGTGCAACTGCTCTGCTGCTCACAAGGCTGTAGGGGCTCAGATGCCAGGCTATGAAGAGGGCTGAAATTGGACAGGGAATCCCATTTAATTCCTTGCACCAGGTCCCATGCCAACCACTCTGAGTCTTTCCATCTGTGCAACTAAGTCACTCAAGATATGCCGTCTACAGATTTCAATGTACACAACAACAACTGCTTCAGAAACGAAAGGATATTGGGACATGTGTGTTGAACAGCAGCAATTTAGACGAAACAATACAAGCTTAATATTTGGTTTTACAGGCATTGATGCTTGGAACAGTCTGCCAAAGGGTGTGTTTTGTGCTCAATTAACTCCAGTGCGCTATGAATAAGTGCGGAAACACCTGTCCACTTATGCCATTTCGAAAAACTCCAATTATATTTGGCAATTGCCCAGATAACATATCCCAACTTGTGTATGGTACCAATGCCAATGAGTTATCTTGAAGTATTTTTCGTTGTATTGCTCCTCATACTGTATGTTTGTTAAATACAAAGCATCAATATTTTTCCGCGTTTTTCTCCACATTTTTGAAACTTGCAAAGTATATCAGTGACACTTTTATGAAGTTTATGAGATTTAGTTGACATCATACTTTTTGCATAATATATTGTACATAAATGTAGGCTTCGAATGATTCCTCCCAACAGATTTTTCCCACCATCGAGTCGATGAATTGTGTCGTGATTTGATAACTCACTTGTACTCTCATCTGTATTGTCAGTCTTGTATTTTTATCTTTATTTATTTTAGCCTCTGGCCCAATTAGCATAGAACTTCCATAGACCATAGATACTATATTTTGTATACACAGTTTGATGCATGCATTATAATAGTGCCTAATACAAAATCACCCAGAATGCGTTGTATCTCATCACGTGTTGGAAGATGAGCAGAGTTTAGCCTGGATAGTGGTTGGATGGGCAACTGAAATGCATAACCAGCATTATAGGCTACACACAATTTTGAGCTGCAGAGAGCAGTGTAGAAAAGTGTGTTGTGGACATGTACTTTTATGCTCCCATTTATTTTGCTCCCTGCTTTTATCAACCCACACTAACCAGCGTGGTGAAATATGGTCAAATATCCCCGATGACGAATATGATTGTAATCATGGACAGAGAATATTTGCAACATTTACAATTGAACAAATGCCTCATACAGTATTAAATGCACTTTGCACTATAAGTCCCACAAAAAAATGCGGGGTGGGTGTGGGTTGGTTAAAGTATATTGCACTTTGTAAATTAAACTTTGGTCTTTTTTAAGCCAAGATAGTTTTCTCAATCCTCTCTTTGGTCAAAAGGAGCCTGTGTTGAATGGAGACGCAGTTGGGGACGGCCCAGGAGAAAAGGCTCTCCAGGACTTCAGGGAAACACGTGAGCTCCAACAGCGCCTGCAGGAAATTGAGCTACAGTTGGAAAGACTACAGAATGCAGCAGCAGAGCCGGTACTGTACACGTGCACTTTGGATGTGAATGCTGAAGATATTTGCCCGAATTTGAAAAGATTTAAAGCTGTACAAAAATTATGTCTGCGGTTCTTTTACGCTTGAAAAAACAAAGCCATTAAATGAATAAAGTAATGTGATTAATAAAAAAAAGAATTGTATTTTAGATATTCAACGTGGGGTAAAAGAAGAGGTGTGATGGTGGCAGCTTTAAGATATTTTTTCTAATCCCAACTTAAAAAAAAAATTGTGTAGGCTACTTCTTCAAAAATGTCACCGCCTTAACATACGTGAGTTACTTTACCAGCATATGAATAGTGTTCGTTTATTGTATGTCATAATCAAGTCCATGTATTTAATTCCAAGATTAACATCTTGTTCACACGAATACTTCAGTCAAACACAGGAAGCAGACTTTTAAGTTGAGCATAACATGTTAAATGTTGACTCGAGGTGAAAAACCCACGAACTCTTTTGGATGTTTGTGCAGCTGAGGCTGCATATCAGACAGGAATACAGCACATTTATGTGAATTGTTGACGTTACGTAACATTTTGGTGCATTTCTGCTCCATTAATGGTTTAAAATCATACATTTAATCTGACTGAAGCACACAAAATGCATCTGGTCTGGTCGAATTTTATAAGCTAAGCAGGCTTGAGCTTGGATGATGCTGGGAATAGGTCAATACAATTTTGAAAACAGTTACTGTAGTCTGCTGGGGTGCTGTGTTTTCAGCTAAATCCAAGTGTACTATGCTACAGCGTCTATGCTTTTCCTTCACCAACCCGCACTTATCAGTGTCTGAATTAATGTGAAATAACTCCCACGATCCACACGGCATGGGGAGGCCCTCATCCAAAATTGCTATATTTGTACAATCATTCAATTATTGAACCGCATCAATTTCAAGCAGCTTTTATTTAACCAAATACCGAAATTGTCATCTCCATTTTCCGTGTCCAAATGCTACATATCCCTATGTGTATTGTTTATAATCTACAAATCGGTGAAGATTTCGTTTTAAACCTGTTCTTTTTCTCCGTGGGCCTTCATTTATTTTTTTAACCCGTCTTGCATTTGCTTGATCTGAAAAACTCAAAAGGGTGAGCTGCCAGGTGTCAGATGGGAACGTGGCGATCAAAGGCAGCATGAAGCCCCGGGATCTAGCTGTGCAATCTTCCTCACAGTGCCACTGACCCATATCGTAGCCATCCCGCTGCAGACTTTTTTTCTCCTCGTTGATCTATGACCCCTATTGCCGTTGAAGCTTTCTGCAGTAATGTGATCCCTAATCCATGGTTTAACCTGGGCATGCACACTCCCAAAAAATGCAGAAACATTTTGACCCGAGGTACCTTTCCTTTAATGAAATCCTTTATGCCTTTCAAAGTGTTTTAGGTTGCCTGTCATATGTGTGCATTTGATCACTAGATATTTTTGTTGGCATTGTCATAACATTGTTGCACCCCAGCAATATCTGGTCATACTTTTATAATATGTAAGGCAATCTCAACTTTTTAACGAAATAAAGTTTTTCGCCAAAATGTTAATTTAAGAAAATCTGAACATCAATGTATTACTATTATCAATTACATTGTTATTGCAGTCATTAATGGATACATGTATTATAAATTTGACATGTTGAAATGGAAATGTTATAATTGTTAAAGACAATTCTAGATTTCGATTTAAAGTTTTCGTGACTGCAGGGATTCATCTTCTTGGTTCTTTCGGTAAAGTCACGTAGAATGGAAATAATAAAATAATAAAAATAAAACATAATGAAATAATTCTCTAATTCTCACGTCGTTTCGGCCACAACAAAAGCAGCTGTCTTCAGGTGGAGAACAGGTCTGTCGAGAAGACAGAAGACAGTCTGACAGAAGACAGAGTCTGAAGACAGAGTCTGACTCTGTCTTCTCGACAGACCTGTTCTCCACCTGAGGACGGCTGCTTGCGTTGTGGCCGAAACGTCGTGAGAATTATTTTATTATGTTTTATTTTTATTATTTTATTATTTCCATTCTACGTGACTTTACCGAAAGAACCAAGAAGACAATTCTAGATGTGATACTTTAGTGTCTGCAAGGATTCATAAGCATGAAACATATTTTCCTGGAAGTAATTTCTTGTTCTCTGGGCCTCTGTGAACAATCAGATTTTTAAAAATGGTATTAACCAAGACTTTAGTAACCCCGACATTCCTTTCTAGATGTATAGAGCTTGTTTTTCCGAAAGGCAGATGTCGTGCTGGCAAGCTAATATCAGAAACACTCAGTCAAGCTGTCACATTGAGGATTATCTGCATGTGCTCAGTGTTAGTTAATGGTGACTTAAGTCTAAATGAACAGCAACTGATGTGCAAGACTATAAAAAACTCTTATCACCAGAATATATTTGATGTATGGAATCAAATACTATATCTAGCATTTACATACTATACTGTCATTCGTTTTGATGGATGACATGCCGATATGGAATTCCATAAATTACTGATTTACATGCATCCATTATCGAAAGCTATTTGGCTTGACCACCCACATGTAAAATTGTAGTTGTTGCTCTGCGTCTACATCAGCTGTACGAAAGTAGAAGATCTAAAGGAACGTTTTGCCACAGTGGTATTTTAGCCTTGAAAAGGGCATTTTCCTGAATGACCTGAGCAAAATGTGTTGCCCATTGTAGACTTTGAAAACTAACTCATTGGCATGTTTGCAACGTAATAGCAGTACACTGTTTTGGAAAATGTCAACTAATAAAGCATCGATATCACCTGAGCATGTATCTTTCCACATTCCGAATTTGTAACAGGAGAGGTTAAACTTTGTAAATGGGTGCTGATCCAAAAGGATGTGAAGTATTTAGACTAGTCTTTGGTAAACAGTAAAGCATGACCCTCTCATAACCATGTACTCTGACCCCCAAGCACAATCTCTCATTAATTCGTCGGGTTGCTTTTACATGTTTTTGGTTTTGTAACTTTCGTGTTCAGACAGTGACACTGTTTGCACTTAATGGGTCACTATGGCAGGATCAATATTCAATATGGTCATCTGATTAACAAAACGTAACTAGGTCCTCCTTAAATTTTGATTCAAAGCTTTCGTGACTGCAGGGATTCATATTATTGGTTCTTTCGGTAAAGTCACGTAGAAGGGAAATAAAAAAATATAAAACAATAAAATTCTCACGACGTTTCGTTTTTTTTCTTCAAAATTTCTTGCTGTGGATTTCACACCTGATGATGATTGCTTGTGTTGCAGTCGAAACGTCGTGAGAATTTTATTGTTTTATATTTTTATTTAACATTGTAAGCTCTGTTTCCAACATATATTTTTACAGTTTTTATGAAATATTGCAGAGAAATAAACATAGAAGGGATATTTACTCCAGATGTTTTATTACTCATAATAAAAATGCAAGCAACTTTTGAAAAACAGTCATTCGTTTTTTGCATTTTCATGCCACTTATTATAGTAGATTTTGTAGAGGAAACATATATAATCCAAACAGAGGAAAGGCTACGGTAATTAGTGTTATATAAACCGTGTAATGCAAACAAATATCAATCATGTGTTAAAGATCTCAGGGATCTTGTGATTATACAGCAAGACTAAGCAATGCGTGCGGTTTCAAGAAGTGACTCACTTTAATGATGTCCCCCACTGGGCACACGTAGATTTAACACATAGCGTGATGGAAACAACTGCACGAGGATGCACTAGTTGAAACAAACAAGCTTGATGAATAATACGAGCACATGGAATGCGTTTGTAATGCATAGTATCCGATATGGTTATGGCGTAGTAGAGAATTCATATTGACTCGAACGAAGGCAAGGGGAAGAAAATATGTACTTCGCTTTAGCCGTATGATGAAATATTTGTTTAGGAGCCTTCAGATATTTTGGAAAGGTTTTATTTTATTTTTAGCTCCAGACTTTGTCACCAGACGTACACTTTTCACACTGCCGTGGTCATGGATATTTAAACAGGAAAAGAAATGTGACCTTCACAACTCTCTCTATATTTAGTTTGTTGACAAGTGCCATTTATTTATCCGTTCCATACCAGTTACTCGCCTATGCTAACTAAGAAACAACACCCACAGTGTTTTTAAAATGTTCATATAATATAATGTATTGCATACATGGTGGATGCACAACACTTTCAGGATTGAGACACTAAATCGCACATATTTTATGAGGCTTATTCAGAATCATTTTGTCAAAAAGTGGTTATGTTGCAAAATAAAGTATACCTATTAAAATGTTTAATTATGTTCCAAATACACCATAGAGTTGTCCTTGTTGACTGCTTTAAAGGAACATGTACAAATATAATTGTTGTTATACTGAGGATTTGAAAAGCATGTGAGTACACTTTATAAGCAGAGCTCAGATTTTCAACAAATGCTGTCGTTGTGCAGTGAGTAAAGCTCCCAGTAATTGGATCCCTAAGTAGCATAACATTTGAGAAGTAATTGCATTACGAAGAAACTTTCAAAGTATTTAATACAGTGTTCTGAAACCTATCCAATGTGCTTTAATACAATGAAGTGAACACCTCTTCCAAACGCGTTCTTAAAATGCTTTATTAGCATTAAACACTATCGACCAGGGCTCTAATTTAAATCTTACAATTTATGAGGGCTGCCAATTTGTTATTTTATAAGAGTGTAACAGGAATGTGATAATTCCATTTTATTTCGTCTTAACATAGCCGAATGAATGAGTTCGAAGGGCTTTGTTGCTCAATTTGCTACTGCATTTAGATGTCTTCTGAGTTCCACAAATAGCAGTTAAAATATAATTAAACTTTTGTGGGTGCAGAGATGCTTATGGCATTTAAAAAATATATTTCTCGTCATTTCATTAAGCCTCCTTAACTGAAATGTAGCTGTTAGAATGCTTGCAGAATTTCACACCAATTCACTGGGGGGTCTTTTTGTTCTTGAAGTTTTGCATCTGAAAAGCTGGTGTCAGTGTCTTGTAATCT